AAGCCATCTTCCTTCTACAAGCTTCCAGAAGATCGTCATACATATCGCCTTCCAGATGGAGCAACTACAGATAATGGAGTTGTACAACTTGCAGATACACCTCTCTTCCTTCCAACATTGGATGAGGCAATGGGTGATGTGTCTAGGTGTACCCAGCTAGTCCAATCAACCTCGGATGTTGACATGCCAACACTACTCGACAGAATCTGTGAAATCATGCTGTCTGATGAGGATACCGGTCCTTTTGATTATCCTCACGTCATGGTAGATGCACTGAAGCACGAGCTACATCAGGATGCCATACCTTTCGAAAATGGAGCTGCTCTGTTCATGTCTGACGACATGATTGACTATCTTCCAGAGGACATGGGAACCCAAACCCACTCCATGCCTGCTGATGACTCTGTCGCTGTTCTATCTACCTCAACACATGAATCCACATATGACATCAGGGAACAAGGTAATCTCGAGCACCTGGCCATGAACACATTTGCTTCCTCGGACATGGTCTTCAGCATGGAAGAAGAGACGATAGGGGAGCCAGACGAGGACCCTTTTGCTGATTTCGACAAATGGCTCAACCAGCCAAGTGCTTAACATTTTGCGAGTTCATTATCACGATTTGCACTAGTCACTGTTACCAGCGCTCGTTACCTTTGCGCAATTCGACTGATGGATTTTTCGTACTTGTATGCTAATAATCCAATTCGTGCATCAACATTAGTAATATTGTGGGAAGCCTATTGAATTGACACTGCCCTCGGCAACGATGATATTATGGGCGCATGTTCATTCATGAATTGATCGTCTGGGGCATTCATTCATGATCGCAGCGATCGCAACACTGTACAGTACCTCTGGTGTGGCAGATCTAGCACTGGTATTGATTCAACACTTAGCTATAGGGGAGCGGCGGACCGTTTATGCGACTTGTTTGGAGACGGCTTGAAGGCAACAACCGCATCCCCGATAGGCGTTTCAACTCGAGAAGCTCAAGAAGCGTTTCAACTCGAGAAGCGTTTCAACTCGAGGAAGCGGGTTGCTATTGCAGTTTCTTTGTGAAACACGGTTCCTTTCTCCTTCCGCACGACCATCACACTCCTTACCACCCTACGGAGCCCAATAAAGTTGATATGATTATCTGTTCGAGGGTATAAAAAAACCCGAGCGAGAGGTGATCTCTACCTCAGTCCGAATTGGGGTCATCAGGAGTAAAAGGTCCGCAATTGAGTCAGAGTTCTGCTTTTCAAAGGGAGCCAATGCCTTGCTTCCATGTATTTGAAAAGGCTGGACACCTGGTGAGGTACAATTTGCTTCATTTTTCTTCCGTTTCATTAAATGTTTCACACTTCTCCTCTATATATAGCCATGTCAGCTTCTTGGCGCTCAATCATGACGTCCACAAGAAGGGCCGAAAATATCTATTTCAACCTAGGTCTGAACAGCGTTTTTAAATTCGAATAAGATAGAATGCCATCTGCTGATGCGGGGCAGGTCAATTGATCAATTAATGGACTGATTAAGAGCTTCACTGGTTGCGATTGCAATCTTCTTCAGGACCTCCTGGATTTGTGGTTCAAGTGTATATATTAGTATTAATCCGACAGTCAGGCTTGGCGGATCACGGCTTTGTGGTGCAACTTCGGTGGCAGGGATCAATTCTGAAAGCGTTGCTATAGCCACCTTAGTAGATTGCAGCATCAGTTCACTCTTACATTCTTGCTGTGCCCACTTCATGTCGAAACGCAACCGGATAGGACTTGAATTGGGCTCAGCTAGGAAGGCCACGCAGCAGTAATTTGCTTTTCTTTTGAAACACGGTGAAGAATCTGAATGGAGTGAACCGTCGCTGCACTCGGCCTTACAACGACTCGGACTACCAAGACTTGCTGTGATGGTCTTTCCAAACGTATAAAAGCAGAGCCAGAGATGACCTCTACATCTTCAATTCGAACGCGGTCAAGTGTATCAGTCTCTCAAGAAGTGGACCATAACACTTCAGTGTCTGCTCCAACGATGCTTTTCACTTCAGTTGTCGCTCTGGCTTTGATGCCCTTCATGGTTCAGGCTGCTGCGATTCGCAAGCGCTCTGAAGCTCTCCTCTATATTGAGGCATTCGAGGACAGTAGTGAGTGTGAACAAGCAGAACCTGTCGAATACCGTTGACCCTCCTTGGCAGGCTGCAATAACTTGAAGGACTTTCTCCAAGTGGATAATTATGGTAATATCTCGCAGTCGTTCTCCGGCTCCAGGTTTGTACTCTCTCGTAGTATATCGTCACGACAGGCGGTCTCACATTTGCACAAGGGGGTCGTTCAGGGTGATCATGAACCAGGGCGTCTGTGAGTCGTTATCTTCAAGCAAGTTGACTGCTCGCTTAATCCCTGGGTAGGCGGTGTGACGCTCTATACCACCAACGGCTATTCCGTGGACTTCCCGACATCGGAGCTGCAGCCTGGTGCTTGCTTCGGTCCATCAAAGGACGACCAGGTTTCCTACTTGGTGTACAGTACGTGCTTGCTGCTAGCATCCAGGGATTATAGGCTGACGATGCATCGATAGCTTGCGACTAAAGTGCGCTAGCAATTATTTGATCGTATGTCCCCGGCCCGTTTCCTGACCTGCGTATCAGACACCGGAGTGAGGGGTGACCAAGCAGGGTCAACTCCCATGGCTGCGCTCTACTAGTCGTCCGAGATATTCTCGCGCTGCTCTATTGTCAGCCTGTTGCTCATTTGCATATCCCAAGAACTTTCTAGTAGCATACTTAATATTCTGATGCCTAATCCACTGCAAGTTGCCGTTTCACATGCGGATAAGCTCCACAAACCAGAAACGCGATAGTCGCGAAGAACAGACTACCCTGGCCTCAATTTCATGTTGTGGGCTCCTTAAAAGGCCGAAGATATACAGTACCCCGCAAAAATAATGACAATCGCTTTTCACCTCAGTTGTCGCTCTGGCTTTGCTGCCCTTCATGGTTCAGGCTGCTGCGATCCGCAAGCGCTCTGAAGATCTCATCGATATCGAGACATTCACCGAGTCCGGTGAGTGCAAACAGGTAGAACATGTCGAATGCCGCTGATCCTCCTCCACAGACTGCAGCGGCGAAAGCCAAAATTACGAAGATATTTCGCCTGGTCATGTCTCGCAGTCGCTTGGCAGTCCCAGGTTTGCACTCTCTCGTAGTACGTGCTCACGACAGGCAATCTTACATTTGCACAAGGGCGGCGTTCAGGGTCATCCAGAGCCAGAACTCCTGTAAGTCCTTTCCTTCAAGCAAGTTGACGGCCCGCTCAATCCTTGCGCAGGCTCCATTACCCTGCATGGCGAGAATAACCAAGAGACGGTCATTCCCGCATTTGCCTTGGCGCCTGGCACCTGCCTCCATA